ACCTGGCACTGGAAGGCATTGGGACACATCTGCCCCTTGCTCTGGTGAGTGATAAAGTGATAAGGACGAGGTGCCTGGAAGGATCCTTGGGAGCCCCAAGCTAAACTGCGCAGGTGGCTCCTGCACCGGAGGTCAGTGCAGCACACTGATCCAAGAGCGAGCTCCTGGCCAAGGACGTGTCTGGGACAGCTGCACGGCTCTGGAGGGGTGTGCTGAGAATGAGGGCTCAGGATGGCAACGAAAAAATATCTTAGAAGTAGCAGACTGGTTGTTATCTCCTGGTTGCCTTGGGTGTTGCGTGACACTGGCACTGGGTGGCACTGATAAGTCTGTTTGTGCCGCAGGTGACTAACCAGGTGACAAGGGACAGCGGCACTGGTCTCCTGAAGCCAGCCCTCGGCCGCTCCTGGAGTTTTGTGCCCAGCACCCGGGTGCTGCTGGAGAGCAAAGAAGCCAGCTGGGAGAAAGCCACCACTCAGCGCCTGGCTTCCTTGGCAAAGTCGCCGCGGCAGGTGAGGCTCCCCGGAGCAGTCCCGCTGGCAGTGGAGGAGCAGCAATAGGTGATGTGGCTTTGGAGCAGAGGGGGGTTCCTTTGGTGGGCAGGGCAGGGTCAGGCCTCGCTGGGTGACCCGTGGCAGTGGGAGAGGAGCGAGTGCAGCCTGGCTGCGACCTGTGGAAGAGAATCTGTTCCCAACAGCCAGAGCTTGTATTTCTAGGCACATTAAGTGTGTGACACTGTGTTCCTTGCGCTTGTGTTGCTGTCCTGATGGCACATGAGCTATGAGGGTCTCGCAGAGCCGGCTCAAACGCCTGCAGAGATGACTTTGGCTTGAATCCTGCTGCGCTGCATGAGCCTCCTGGCTCTGAGCCCACTCTGCAGCCTCATCCAAATGGGTTTGGATGTGGTGGCATGTTGGGCAGCAAAAACGCATTATGGATGTGCTGAATAGTGGTGTATCTGGGGATATCTCGGAGCAAGATGTTCTTTCTTTGCTAAATTGCATTCTCTATTTGTATCTTTGTGTTCCTCTAGGTACAGCAAACCCCGTTAAAATGAGGGCACTAGCTGAAAGAAATCCTCAAGAGGGTGTAATTGGGATTTTTTTGGCTCTGGGGAAGGTGAAGTAACGTACAGATTGGCCCTTAGAGTTCCAGCAGCATGGGGTTAACCTCCTCTCTGTTTCTCCTTGCAGCCAACAGGGATACAGGTGGAGCTGGATATTGGAAATGGTGATGTGCAGGAGCTGAGCCCAGCAACACCCACACAGGGACTCTGGTCAGATGGAAGAGCAAATGTCCAAGAAAGCTGAAAAAAAGCAAGCAAGCACAATGGAGGTTTTGCAGACTGCCTCTGAGAGTCCAGCAGCCTTGGAAGGCACCAACATGAAGAAGCTCTTGTTCTGTGCAGAGGAGAAAATGAATGTGAGGTTCCCAGAAGTCCCCTTGCCTCAGCAGATTCAGCCCACGCCGGCTGGGCTGGGTGGGCAGCATGACAGCCAGGTCCTCTTCTCTGCTGCAAGCTTGTCTTCAACCGGTAGAGCCAGCCCTGTCCTGAGGTGCTGGCTTGGGACCAGCTGGCGCCGCCCTGCACAAACCCGTGGCTCCTCGTGGCGGGTTTGCTGCTCCCGGAACTTTCTGCCCTCGCTCCCAGGGCTCTGATCCTCCTTGGGCAGCCCACAGTGATCTTTGTTCAGAAAGGAATAAATTAAAAGTTGCACACTGCTGTGGTGGTTGAGAGCTGGAATTCAATTAATGGCAGCTGCAGTTAATTAAAATCTCAAAGTTTAGTCCCTAGCAGGACTGGGGTGGGACAGGCTGTTGGTGAGCAGCAGCATAACCGGATGCTTGATCTGACCTCCCCAGAGTAACCCTGGGCCCTGTAGAGAGCTGCTTTTATTTTGGGGGCATGGCTGTGCTGCATAAAGAGCTGCTGTTAACCGATGGTGGTTGTGATCTGGGTCTGCTGGGGTGGGTGAGTCCTCACTGACACCAGCTGGTCCCCTCTGATGCTCCATTGCGTGTACCGAAGTGTAAGATAATCTCGCCTTGCTCCAGTGCTTTGCAGCTGCTCTTGCTGGCTCTTGGGCAACTTTCCAGGGGTTCCTGCAGTGCTGGGGAGGAGACTGGAGGCTGGGATGGAGCGTGGCCTCTCCCCTTGATCCCAGATGTCTTAGACACCCTCAACCTCTGCCTCATAAGAAACCTTGACAGGTGAGGTGAGGGACAGCTTCCACTTCCAGGGCTGCTGGTGTAGACTGTGGGGGCTGGGAAGCATCAGGCCATGCCCATTAGATTAATAACATGGCAGTAGAGCTTGTGAGGTGGTGCTGGGTGAGGAGGAGTCTGATTTAGGCAGGATTGGAAGCTGATTTCTCCAGTGATGCTGTGCAGTTGTGTACTCCTGAGCAAACAGCTGCTGTAGGGACAGGGCAGCTAAAAGGGGTATGTGAATGCACGTTTTGGTTTCCTGAGAGTCAGTGCCAAGTCTCTGCAGAGATTTTTGTTTTGCACATCGGTCAGAGACGTGCTTCCTGCAAAGCCGAGCTCTTGGTGCTCCTGGGTCTATGATTTAGGGGACAAAATCCCACCTCCTGCCTTGTGGGCACCGCAGCCCTGTGCAGGCTGAGCTCCCAGTGAGTCCTGCCTGAGGAGGGGAACATGCCAAAGCAGCTCCAGCTGTACCATCAGTTTTCTATAGAAGTAAATGTATTTTAAATTTGCGTGTTTATTTGCATTTCTGGGCTTTCCAAGCTTGAAAAGAGAAGGTTTGGCTGCCGGGACTGCAGCCTGGCTGTCTGGGGTGAGGAGGAAGATGGGTTTTCTGCTTGCTGGAGGCCCATGTATATGTGGCTGGTCCTTAGAAGCAGAAAATTTATCTTGTTATGTCCCTAGAAGCTGTGAATAAAGAGCTAGTACTTAGAAAATTGAGACAGAACAGGGGGTTTCTTGCTGTCTCTTTCCACTAACTAGCAGAAAGATGAGAAGGGGAACAGCCTGGTTGGAACCCCAACTCAGCAGGAGATGAGCCGTGCCCCGAGCCTGCATCTGCACCGCGGTCCCCAGGAATCAACAGAAGAAACCTGAGTTTTGCAGCTGGTCGCTGGGGAGCGGTCATGGACAGGGACTCAGTGGGCATGGGGACTCAATGGTAATGGGGCCAGTCAGTCGAGAAGAGACTGGGGAAAGGCGCTGGATGTGTGGGCTCTGCTCCTCCAAAGCTACCCATACCAGGCTTTCGGGCACAGCCATGACCCGGGGGCATTTCCTCTCCTTGGCAGTCAGCTAACTGCAGCCCCAGGACTGTTACGGCCTCTTGGGAAACAGCTGGCCAGGTCGGAGAGGGTGGTGTGATACGGGGCATGGCTGAGCTTTGGGCAGCAGCTCCTCTGGCCCCAGGTTCTCTGCCAAGGCAGGCAGCGTGTGCGTGAGGCGACGACGACGTCCTGCATTTCTGGCTGCGTTGCTGCAGGGAAGGTGTTGCTGTGAGTGCTGGTTATTGCTTGGTGTGGGAACAGCAGAAGGGTTCAGGCCATGGGAATCTGTTACTCCATCTGGAAAAACCGGACTTCTTACTCAAGCTGATTTGCTCTGTATTTGCATAGTAATATTAGGCTGAAAAGAGTTTCTGACCTAAATATTCTAATTCAGCCTTTCTCCTCCGTGCTCAGGCAGGCACTTCTGCAACCCTGTAACACAGGGCCTGCCTGTGCCAGCGTGCACAGAGATGTCCTCTCTCCCTTCTCCTTCCCAAGGCCTAAATTGGCTAGGAAACCATTGGAAAAGCCCCAAGTGTGGTGATAAACCCCAATCTCTGGGCAGGGAGGGAACCCTTTGCCCCAAGAAGTGAGGATGTTTGGCACTGAGGGCTCATTTCATAGACTCACAGAGTCGTTTGGGGTGGAAGGGACCTTAAAGATCAAGCGGTTCCAACCCTCTGCCATGGGCAGGGACACCTCCTGCCAGCAAGCCCCACCCACCCTGGCCTTGGACACTTCCAGAGAGGGGCTGCCACAGCTTCTCTGGCGTGCAGGTATCCACAGAACAGGTTTCAGTGAACAAAGGCGAGATGCAGGGAGGTGTTAATTCGGCTCCGCTCTGTCTTGCCCTAACAGACCCTTTACTGCGATGACCCGGGGTGGGGGGGGTATGGAAAATGACCCAGCCCTGAGAAACAGCAAAAGTGAAACAGCAAACAAAGGACCGAAACCTGGATAAAGCCAAACCCCAGATAAGAAACATTTTGCCCTGAGTCTCATATTCAACCACTATCTACTCTTGAGATGTGTTAAATTTGGCTGAGTAAATCATGTATGTGTGAAATACCTTAATCTGGCTAAGTATCAAGTTATGTTAATTTGGCTGAGTCATTGGTGTGCCAGTTAACACACACTAAGTGTGTGGGGGAAATCTCACCATCCCACCAAAGATAAACGTTCTAGATAGCCAAAGTGCCCTCAGGCATGCCTCTGCCCCGCAATATCCCATCCTTACACTATAAAAACTAAGATTTTGGGCAGAATTTGGTTGAGAAAAGCTTTTCCAACCATACAGTGGGACTATAGGAGATTCTTCCCCTCCCTTGTTTGAGACGTCGGATAAGGACACCTTCCCTGGGGTTGACAACCCTCACCAGAGAGAGGGGAAGTGACTAAGACACGTGTGGCTTACCGTAGGATTGCTATTGTGACTAACTTGTGCGCTTCTTAAATCTGTACTAGTACATTTTTCCTGGGAATCACTGAGTTCTGTAGCAGGGGGCCAGTCGGCTCAGTCGGTTAAACGTGGTGCTGACAACACCGAGGTCGCAGGTTCGATTCCTGTTTGGACCCTATGCGTTACCTGATTTAGCTGAGAGGCGTCCCTGCCCATGACAGGGGGGTTGGATTAAATGATCTCTAAGGTCCCTTCCAGCCCAGGCCACTCTATGGTTCTATGATCTTGTGTGTTGTGTTGTTTCTTTCTCTAATTGCAATAGTGCATTCTTCCCTTGTATCCGTAAAACCTGCACGGTGACATGTTAGACCTGTAAGTGTAGCTCTAATAAACTGAGAGTTTGAACCTTGCAGCCAAGTCCGTGTGTTGGTCCTGTGAGTGAAGTTCAAAGAGATGCTGGCTCGAAGCTTGCGGTGCCGGCTCTCTGGCTCGTCTGGGCAGCCTGTGCCAGTGCCTCGCCGCCCTCACGATGAAGAGCTTCTTCCTAATGCCCAATCTAAACCTACCCTGCTCTAGTTTAAAAC